TAAATAATTTAAATACGGGCGAGGCCCCCGTATTTAAATTATTTAAATTATTTAATTCCCGGCCCCGCCCCTCCCCCAGACCCCCCTCCCCCAGGATTTAAATTATTTAAATTATTTTAAAATTATTTAAATTATTTAATTCCCGGCCCCGGCAGATTCCCCCGGATTTAAATTATTTAAATTATTTAATTCATGGCCCCGCCCCTCCCCGGACCCCCCTCCCCCAGGATTTAAATTATTTAAATTATTTATTATTTAAATTATTTAATTCCTGGCCCCAATTAAATAATTTAAATACGGGGGAGGCCCCCGGATTTAAATTATTTAATTCCCGGGGTCCAGGCGCGCTGGAACACCACATGGGGTCTATTTGGCAGCTGGCGCGTGGAGTCCTGCCAATACACACACATCCAGCTGCCAAATAGACCCGGTTTAAGCCACACTCGGGGGGGGGGGTTCTTTGTCACGAAGTATTCAGGCCCCTAGTTTGCAGAATTGGGTTCTGCTTCGCGGAGGCAGCTCGAGGCTTTTCAGCCCTAGGTTTGCGACCACGAGGAAGCCTTTTTTACAAAGCAACTCTTGAAATGGAAAGGCTTTCGGATGTAGGGTTTAGGCTTCGTAGGGTTTTTGCATTGAGGGTTTAGGGTTTCGACCCTTGGCGAGGCATGTGACAGACAGGTCGAGATTGTCTGGAGCAGTGCGGGATAAGAGCCGCTGTTGCAAGGTTTGAGCCGATTCACAGCCTATAGCTTCCCGGTTTGAGACAGCTCGGAGGAGCTAAGTGCAGGGCTGTCTGGTTTGTAAGGCCTGGGCTGGTTCTGACGGGGGGGTGGGGGAATGCGAAGCAGTGGCGGCAGCGGCCTCAGCTATGACTATGGTAGCCTCAGAGCTCTCCCTAGATGCCCCTGAAAGGAATGGAACTGATCGGGACACTTCAGATACAACATCACTCCACGGACAGGAAGTGGCCCAATGCTCTGGACTTCCAACAGTCCTCCTTGTCACCCCGTGTTTTCAGGGCATCGCCGACCTCGGAAGCAGGAAGCACAGTTGCAGCTGTTGGGGCTTGGTGCTGGGTTGCAGAGGCTTGAGAGAGGGGCCAAGCAGAGTTTTTGGGGGTTGGTACGTCTTGGTGACTAGATATGGGGTCCAGGGCTCAAGGGTTTTGTCGGGTTTGGGGTTTCGGATACAGCATTTACTGCAACCGAGGAGCGCAGGGGAACTTGGTCCAGTCGGAGTCATCCAAGAAGACGATCTGGCCCGACTCTTCACCGAGCCTGGGCTTCAAGGGTGTACAGGACTCTTCTACAGGGTTTGGGGGGTTTTGGGGGGCTTGGGGCTTTAGGGGCCAGGGGTCTAATGCAAGGGGTTAGGGTCTGCGGTGTGGGGACCTTTGGGATGCAGTCAGGGTGCGCTTCCTTCTTGTGACTCTCTTCTTTGCTTAAGGTGGGACTCTCTCTATAGAGGTAGGCTTCGTGGGGAAGCTGCACCCTAAGCTACACAAACTAAACCCCAGGGTAGGAGTCTTCATAAGTCGTTTCAGCATCCCTCTGCATTCCTGCCAATCCTTATGATACACTAGCCACCACGCTTCTAACTGCTGAGGTCTCTTGACAAAGCAAACCTCGACAACCCTGCACACGACACCCCTTCTCAAGATGCATGCACAGCCCAAGCTGAAACCAGCAGACAAAACCTTCGAAGACCACTCAGATGAAACTTATCTGGAAATCCCACAGAAGCCAATGGTGTCTTCCCTCAGGGTTATGTAGCGTACTGTGGGGTTCAGAGGTTAGCGCATGCGAAACGATTCTTCAAAGCGAGATTGAGACCGGCACAGGGTCTGCAAGGCTTTGTCTGCCTGGGTGTAGAGCCCCTTCCTGATCAAGAGATCGGAATTTGGGGGGGGGTCCGAATTTCAACCTAAACCCAAGCCCCAGGCACTAGTCTCTCACTTTGCACGATCGGGGGTTCAGGAATCGCCAGCCTGAGTCAGTTGAAGGCGTTGGCAATAAATCCGTTTGCAGGCTGCGTCGGGCTGCACCACGCGAGTTGCCAGTTTGCTCCCAGATAGACCCCTGTATGTCCGCACTGGAATCAGGCACCCCAAATTTGTACTAACTTCGGGAACACTTTAAAGTACAGTTGCTGATGATATATAAGGATAATAGTTCTTAGCACATTTCGTACTTGCTGAGATGCCAATTAGTGAAAGCGGCAGATGGAGCACATGCTTCCATGCATCCGACGAAGGAAAAAGGGATTAGCGTTTCAGGTATCGCTGCATAGTAAACCATCCCATCATGGACTGCTTTGGGGTTTGGGAGGTGGCGAAGATGCAAGCCATTTAATGGAAAGTACAACGACAACACACTCCGAAGCTGCGTGCGAACTGAAAACTACTTGTCATTGTGATAAAGGCTGGGTCTTGTTCTTGTGCTTACAACTCTTAAACTCACGATTTGATTAACCACAAGATCCTGAAACCAAAACCCTCACCCTACACACTGAGCTCCAAAACCCCAAACCCCAAAACCTCTCCATCACCCGTATGGCATGAACGAACCCCTAGCATTGTGTACACAAGCCCCTGAACCCCCCCCCTCCAAATACGAACACCCGGCCTTTTGCTGCCATCCGACGCAAGCGCAAGCGTCTCGGCACCCAAGGAATAGCCCTGGGCACCGAACTTCGGATCGGAGGGCTCTTTAATGGCCTCAAGGCCGTAGAGTTTGGCCCCCTCTAGTACCTACTGCTGAGGGACAGGCTGGATTGAACATTTGAGCATTTAGGCTTCAGGGTTGGCAGTTCATGGATTTGGTGGTTGAGGAAGGTTTCGGGGACTTAAAGGATCTTTGATCTAGGTTTCGGCAGAGTTCCGGAATCTCGGCAGTCGTGCCTGCAGCTTGTCGTTCAGCTCGTCGAGCCAGAGCCAAAGTGGCTCGTCCTTGTAGTCCATACATCCACTCTGATGCCACTGCTCGTCACTGTTTACGAAACTCAGAATTCCGGCATGAGCGTCAGAAGCCGGTGAAATCAGAGACGGATCGGGCTTGGCTCTGACTGTGTAGAAAGCGGGTGTAGGGTGTGCGAGACTCGGCTGCTTCGGTGTGTAGGGCCGGAAGCTTACACCCTAAACCCCAACCCTCAAAAGCTACCTTCATGGAGACCAGTCTCTTCAGCTATCGGCCCGACAGGTTTCCAGAAGCATCCAAGTGCCGGGCTCGGGGAACCGGCTGCTGTGGCGTATGGAGAGCTTTCTTCCTCGAGGAGGCGATGGACTGGAACGAGCGAGACACGAGAAGCAGAAGGGTAAGGTAGGGGCCTGAACAATTAGAATAGGGCTTTGGGGCCCAGTATACTATAATCATAATAAGGAACCCCCAAAATAGTACAGGTAATTACTTAAGGCCCTGTATTACTGTTCTTCTGTTTCGAATTCGGTTTGCCCAGAGTAGAGCTGGAGATCAGCCATCGGCGTCCAGAAGAAGCGGGAACCACACTCCAGAAATCGTGAGACAAACTGGGTGGTCCTTCTTGCAAGCCTAGAAATGTGGTACGACAAATCGTTCCTACCCATCAAACCCGAATGCACACGCAGGACACCGCCCAAGGGCTGCAGAATGATCAACAGCTTGAAACATATGCTAGGACGGTTTACGGTTGCAGCGTGCCCAGGTTCGTGCGTTCAAGGTGAAGAGGATGTGAAGTCGCTTTTTTTGTGAAACGGAAACAGACAAATGGTACAATCGCTTTCATTTACGAAATCATCCATCCAAACGTCTGCCCGTCACCAAGGTCAGTCGAACACACCAAAGCAGTTCAGAGCTGAGCCGATGTCGTGCTCCCCCCTCCACCGAAGGCTGAGCCTGACCCCAAACACGAGATCGCGACATCAAGTGAGGACCGGGCGCGAGACCCAGCGGCCGCTGTGGCGATGGCTCTGCCTGACTCAACTTCCCAAAGCCTTCTGGCCCCCTAAGGCTCTAGGGTGAAGCTGGGTATGTCTTCGGCAGAGAGCTGCGGCGACTTGCTGTTAGCACAGCAACTCAGGATCCTGAAATTTTCGGGACCTCCAGACAAAGAAATTGCACGGCATCCTGTAAAGACTGCCTGGATTCGTAGGTATACTGGAGGTTCTACACTACCTTCATTCTTCATTGACAGGAATAATATCAACAGTGGTTAGTAGGTCCCTGAATTTTGCAGATCCCGCAACCTTCTGTGGATCTTTGTGCTATGACTTCTCAGGCTACATGACTCTAAAACTTCCTCTTTCCACAGTTCAATCACTCGGCGACGTTCGAATTGCTGGTGGGCTCACTCATACTTTCAGATCTGAAGTTTGTTGGGTGGCATCCGACTTCGCTGTCCGACACTACATGCAAAACCCTACCCTAACCCGTCAGAGGCGACTCAGAGGGGAGTGTATTCACAAGAGATCGCTCATTCGAAGCCACTTTTAAGTGCCTCAAAGCCTGTGCGACCTGAACCCAAACCCTACAGCAGACTCCTAGACCCCAAAGCTGAACAGCTTACTTCCCAAACCCTGGGCCATGAAACGCAAGCCAGCGCAGCTAACAGACAGGCCCGGGTTTGGGAGACTGTTGAGATACAAATATGAAGACTCCAAAGCAACATGGGAGGAATGATCTCGCCTCATGCTTACTGTTGCAATTTTGCCTCAGAACCCTGCTTTAGCTGACCAGGCCCCGCATGACCCAAAAACACTGAGCTGCTGACCTGCGCCTCAGCCTCCTGCAAAAAAGGTTTCACAAGCATGGCAATTCAGCGGGTGTATATTCAGGCAGTGCGTTAACTGCGTTGCTTGAATGATGTCCGGCGTGGATATTTACCTCTGCGTGGAGATGAGAGCTTTAGGGCGCAGGGTGGAGCAATGGCGGGGTTAGGGTTTTGGGTTCAAGTTTTTGCCTTCCGCAGCGGCCTCTCGCTTGAGTGAGCATTTTCAAGAGGAAACCCGAGCATAACATCACAATGCTTCATGTGATAGACCCGCTCCGGTCTGGAACAGACTGTACTTTGACTACCTTACATATTCACATGGCGGCCAAGGTTCAGGGCCCACTATACTCTACATGTACTCGGGAACCCTACTGAACTGTTTGACCAGGTCCCTTTGTTAAGGGATTCGGGTACTTCGTATCTAAGGACACCATAACTTGGAGGGCCTTCCCAGTCCCTAAACCTTCGCTATAAAACCGTTGTGAAGCCCAACAGAACCCTGAAGCCAACCCCTTCCAACACTCCTGCTACAAAAATGCCTCTGCGATGTTTGCGAACAACTCCTGAACCAGTAAAGACGCTACACAATCCCGCAAAACTCTGAAACATACACCCTTTAGAACGCTAGACAACAGCTTCATTCAAAGCCATTCAACAACCTATAACCTATAAACTTCACCCAAAACAACAGCAGCTTTAAACACCCACTGAACAAGAAAACTGCTCGGAGGTGTCGGCGCGTCCTTGGCCATCTCCTCCGAGACGCGCTCGGCCTCCGCCAGCTCGGCCTCTAGGATGGCCGCGGCCTCTGCGGCTTTGGCTGCAGCCACTGCCTCCCGACAGTTTAAGGGTGTAGGGATTCGGGGTTTAGGGTGCAGGGATGAGGGGTTGGGGGTTTAGGGAATCAGGGTTTCGGGTTTAGGGTTGAGAGGTTTGCGAAATTAGGGATTCAGGGCTTAGCGTTGAGGGCTTTGGGGGTTTAGGGTTCAGGGTTAGGGTTCAGGGTAAACCCGAAACCATAAGCCCGAAACCACGATCTTTCTCCCACGGTTCTCAGTGAAGGTTGTTGGTGGTCAAGCATATTATAAGTTAGATGATACCTTGCCTATTTCAGGCTATCGGCACCACTGGCCCCATCCCCCCTCCCCCCCATATCATCCGGCCTCGGCTTCCTCCTCGGCCGTCATGGCCGCAGCCGCAGCCGCCTCCGCAGCTTCCGCCTCCGCAGCTTCGGCCTCTGCGGCTTCTGCTGCTGCAGCTGCCGCGGCAGCCTCCGCTGCTTCTGCCTCAGCCGCGGCAGCATCCTGTCCATGGGTTTCTGGAGCCCTGAGTGAGTTGCGCGGATTGGGTTCTGGAGGCTTCCACCGCCATCAATTTGGATTAACAGCCTGGACATGCTCGAGTCTGCAGACAACCTCTGTTTCGAGATGGGGTTTTAGTGTTGAGAGTCCGGCGTCTGAGCCGCTCAGACTCTGAACTTCACAGCACGAGCGTGTGAGAGACATACGTCACTACACCCTTCCTGCGGATGTAGATCGTGAGGGTGTTTTGCAAAGTTGGGTAGGGTATTCTACCATGTATTTGCATGGGGACTCCACGTACGATTTTTGCAGAGTTCCGAGTGAGATTACAAGACACGGCCTCCTCCACGCCAACAGGTGGGGCCATTTGCGGCTCCTTCATTCGATGCTGCGAGTACGAAAAGTCTGGCAGCATGCGTTCCGTTTGGGGTTCCATCTTCAGGGCTTTAAGGTTTGTTGGGGGCTTGTGCTGGAGGCTTTGGGGGGGAAAGGGCGCCTTGAGTGGCGAGCCTCGCAAGGTTTGAGTGTTGAGCCTCCCACCCACAAGACGACTCAATGCACCCGGCGCTCCGAGTTCCCCCTTCTGGCCGGTACGCCTCCCCTTGAACTTCAACCTTCGGGTGGGGTGCCCTGACATCTGGACGGCCTTCTCCGGATCATAAAGCGAGCCATCGTCCTGAAGGCATTCGGTGAATGTTTGATCTTCACAACGAGGCGATTGGAGGTCCAAATGTTCAACGGCTTAGATGGTATAGTCTCTGACATCAGCGTCCTCAAAATATGAGCCCAACTTAGCCTTAGGGTTAGGGTTTAGCTTTAGGTTTGTGTCTAGATTGTTTCGGTTTGGGGCAAAGAGGAGCCGGCTCGGGCTCAGATTTCTTGCTGCAGCCAGGCCAAACCCAACTCCAAACCCTGACATGGCGGCCTCATTAATTCCGTTAGGGTTTGGGCGTATATCATGGGCTACAACGGGCTGGTATTGCGAATTAATTATTCAGGTCCGATATGAAGCAAAAAGCAATGAAGCCCCAGCGCACAACGACTGGTGTTGCCTCGCTCTGCAACGTTGAGAAATGCAACCTGGAAAACTCTCGGTCCTGCAGGTCCGCATTGCCTGTGTCTTTCCATTCCTGATCCTTCCAGTTCTGGTCCTTCCAGTTCTGGTCATTCCAGTTCTGGTCATTCCAGTCCTGGTCATCGCTTGATCAGTCGTAACGCTTGGTCGGCTTACGTCAGCAAAGCGGCAAGCAAGTGGATGACCAGCAAACTCTCATCCTGACATTCGATCTGCAAGACGATCCCAATACGGTGAACCCTGAACCGGAGGCCCTGAAGGAACAGCTCATGTTATTTTTTGTTGGCTGGTGGCGGGCGTTCTGCACCCACTCAGCTCTTGTTCCGGAACTTGGTCTAGGATACTATACTTAAAGGATCATGGGACTTAGTAACTACAAGTAGGGTTAGAATCAGGGTAACTATACTTATAACCCCAATTAAGGTACTTATAACCTTACTAAGTCCCATGATCCTCCAAGCAATCTGGAAAGCAGAACATGGTTATTGTCCAGGCTTTGGGTTCTCGCAGACCCTCTCAGGAACGCCAAAACCTTCCAAACTCGAATAGGGCCCCTCTGAAACCTCTACAAAGCCCGTGTAAAACCCCAGACCCCGGATGAGACAACTCAACAAAGCTCCCCCCCCCGATAACCCATGATACCCTCCACTATACCCCCTTTAGAACCATAATACAAATACTATTCTTTTGGGTTTTATACATGAACACAAAATAAAAGGTCTAAAGCCCAAGCAGGAGTGACAGAGGGCCTGGTTGGCATGGCCGTTGGTATTCCCCTTGGCCTTCTTCTGACTCTGCGCATTCCACTCGTCCCACTCCTGCGAGTCGAACCGGTTCAGAAGATTGTCGTTGGGGAGTACAACCATCATCATAGTAACAATAATGAGAACACTAATGCTTAAAGGGATTCACAGTGGGGTGCTGAAAAGCCCCAGCCCCCCCCCCCAAAAAAAAAAAAAAAAAAAAAAAAACAGCTCCCGGCCAACTCCTCGCCTCTTGAGTGTACTCGCGCTTCTTGCTTTTTCCTGGGCGGCCGGGCCCCGTGGACTGCAGGAGCTTGGCTCGATTTCTGCGGCGCTCACAAAGCCACTGCAAAGCGATTGGATCGCTGCAAACTCTAAGGCTATCTAGAAGGGTAGGGCGGTTAGGGGGTGTGCTTTCGATGCAGTACCCCAGGCGTTTGCTTTTGGTGCCCCGACAAGGACGTATGCATAAGCCGTTTACCCGTTCAAAGGTATAGATGAAGGTCCCTGACGCCCTCACTTTACACTTCCAAGCACCCAGCGCTTGTTTCTGCTCGGCGGCGCCGCAGGTTCTGCCGGCCGTGCACCGTTGGGCATGGAGTCCTGGTTTAGGGTCTTGGGGTTTCGGGCTTCACAGCTTCGGGGTCTAGGTCTGACGGTCTTGGGGTTTTGGCTTGTCGGGTTCAGATTTTAGATTTCATGGTGGCTGGAGGTTTGGGTCTGTTTGGGGGCTTCAAGCTGGAAAGACAGGATTTTACCTGCAAAGCTTTGCTGAACTCGGCTAAACGGAAGGCCAGAACTAGGCCTGTCCGTGTCCAGCCCAGTGGGATATCCGAAACGTCTCCACTGAATTTCAGAACTTGAACAGTTTATGTACTCGAAAACTAGGACCGGTAATTCCAGGGCCCCCTAAACAAGGTACCTGCATTTTTGGTGTCTAGAAGCCCCAAATAGCCATGGCCCCAGCCGCAGCCGGATACACCATCCTAGATCCGACATAAGCCCGAAACCTCTAAACACTGAAACCCGAAAATTGACTGAACAACTCTGAATAGGCTTTATGTGGCGTTCTTTACTACAGCGCATTTTTGGGGGATTGTAATGGCCTCTTCTTGCCAAGTATTCAACCTCCTTTTTCGCAACCCTGTCCTCCACAGAGATGTTGGCACTGCGGCAGAAGTCTAGGAACTCAGGATTCCTCCCGCTTCACTTAGACATAGAGGGGGTTTAAAGTTTAGGGCTTCAGGGGCTAAGCCGGCTAAGCTGCCTCGGGCTCGGGGCTCTAGGATCGCAGGCTTTGCGGCTTTGGGGTTCCTTTCCACAAAGACATGGCAGTGCCGCTCCAGGGAGGGCGCCTTCGAAGGTGGAGGGGTTCACGGTGGCTCAAAAGGAAACCCAGACACTCCAACATCCTCAATCAATTCAATAGCTTTCCTCAGGCTGGGATATCTTCGATGATTCAAGGCAGACCGGATAAACCGGAGAGGTTTACAAGTATCTGGAAATGCATTTAGTTGGCTTTTGCCTCAGTCACAAGGCCCTCTCGGTCGCCTGGAGAAGACCTCCTGAAGGGATTCGGCATTGGCCGCTAGCGCCAAGCACATCGATAGCCTGCTGCAGGGGGTTTTTAGGGCTGATGGCACAGATGGCCATGTGTATCACTGTGTATCTGTTCAGTGCCCAATGCAGCCGACAAAGACCCGACGGTTCAGTAACGGCAGTTGGTATCTCTGTTGAGAAGGAAGATGGCTCTGCCACGGCCCTCTGCAGCTCACGGCGTGTCCGCTGTTGAAGGCCTCGCAGCTTGCAGCCGATGTCGCTGTTTGCTGGCCATCCCCACCTGCGAGGTTTCAGAAGCTTCGAGGCTTTCAGGGTACCACAAAGCCACAGATTTAATTCGGGCCACAAAGCCTGCACGGCCAGAGAGGGGGCGAATGCCCGCATGCCACTGAAGCAGTTCCGATAGAGTTGACCGGCTTCCAAGAAGGGTTCTAACACAAAGCCCCAATAATTGGCCACCTGCCAGGATACCCCTGATTTACTGAAACCCCATAAAAGCACCAGTAAACTCTCCGTTGTTGGAGCTGAGTTTGGGGCAGCCCACAGCGCTCTGGGCGGGCCTCGCAAAAAGAGAGAAGGAATCACACAACAGCCAGCAGAGTTCATGAAATGGCAGTGGGCGAGCGTTGCATGATTATGCCTATGCTGTATAGTGGTGCTACAGCTTCCATTAACAAACATCTACTCGTTCATATATCTGTCAAGTGTCCATTAAAGGCCTGTCTGTTCAAGAGAAAATTTCCTCTTTTGGGCCCGATGTAGTTTAAATGTACGACAATATACCCGCAACAAAACGCTCTCGCGGCCTTCAGACCCATTCCACAACACCTGAAAAAACAAGCTTGTGCAAACCTGCACTCTGTAAAATTTGGCATCAATCTCCCGATGCTAGCGGCTTCAGGACTCAACGACCTGCGAGTTTCCTGGTCGAGAGCCTTCCTTCAAAACACTATTGATGGCAGAATCTTAGAGCTGAGTGCTTTGGGGCTTGTGCTTAGTCTTCGGAAACTTTAAAAGAAGGCTTTAAGGTCTACAGGGCTTGATGGCTTTATATTGGTAGGGCTTCAGGGCTCTAGCGAGTCGTGGCCTCAGGAGATCCCTTCAAGTTCACCCAAGAACCGTGCAGATGGCCACACAGATGGCGAGCTCTTCATAGCCGTTCTGGCGCAAGACGGCACCCACCTGCAGGGAGCCGGCTGACGCTTTGCAGCGCCCAGGTGAGATCTGAGATCCTAGCTTGCAATGAGCTTACGGCTTACAGATATCCCGAATGGCTTTGACACAGCAACGCAGGTGGCCCACGGAGAGCTTTGGCAAACTCGGATCCGTGGGGAGTCGCCATGACTGTCGGGAATGCTCCGAAGACAGTCAGATAGGGGCCTGAAGATTTAGACTACGGCTTTAAGGGTAGATGGTAAGGTGCTTACAGGAGGTTACTGAGCTTTCAGACCCGTACATTACATTGCTACTATCAATTCTTCAAACCCTTTCATGGAACTACATTGTAAAACCAGTTATCCCCATGGAGGCTAGCTGGTACTCGCTATCGGAGCAGCTAGAGAAGCCCCTCCTTTATTGCACAGAGCTGGTTTTTGTCGTTCAAGACGTTTGTTGTTTGGCGAAGGCTGGAAGCCAGTGCCATGGCCTCCGGGAAGTCGGACCAATCCTGCCGGCATGGTGTAGGGTTTAATACAGGAGCCTCAAAAAACTGGAATAGGGTTTCGGGGCCGAGTATACTATACTTGCTTTAAGGAACCCCCAAAAGAGTATTGGTAACTATGTAAAGCAATTGATTTAAGTCGGAGTTGAGGGTTTAGGCTGCCGGAGGTTGCGGCTTAAGCAAAAAGGCTTCGGGTTTGCGGGCCTTGCAGTTAACGGGAAGAGAAAGCGGCAATTCCTTGTCCCCAATCCCATATCCCTCGACCCAAGTCCCTAAACCCTTTGTACCCCGGCATGAGCAGTCCCCGTCGTGGTTGAAGGTCATCGTGTCGAACCTGTTTGCTGCACCAACTGGACAAAGATGCGGGGATCTCAGAAATCCATGCAAAGGTCCCGTAATTCCTGGAATTCCTGCGTCTCATTCAAGGGGTCCTGACGTCTCAATGATTAGACTAATCGGGACCTCCAAACCATCGGTACACAAGGGAACCCGAAGGGAGACTGTTGCGAACTATCCAGTCCCCTAGTGGCCTCATTATTGAATGCACTTAACTCTTTGATTGCCCAGAATCCCGGACTCCTTTCCCTGAGATAAAGCCGTAGACCCTAAACCCCCGGAATCCTGAACTCTAGACCGTTCCCGTCTTCATGGCATCGACAGCCGCCCGGCTCTTAAAGCTAGAGGCTTCGGCATACTGTAGGGGCCTTAGAAGAAAGGGGTGTTGGGTTGTTGTTCCATAATTACTGCAACCTGGTTCTTTCGACCTTGCTTTTCCACTCCTTGGCTTCCTGTGTCTGCTGCTGTTTTTCTAGGTTGTTGTCAGAAAATAGGGGAAGCTAGTCTACATGTTCAATCATAGGATCCTCAATGCAAGTGCCCCGCCATGTTGACAACCCTAGCCTTCTGGAATCCTCCTGCCTGGTTGGGTTTGGGGCTTCGTGTTTCTGGTTTGGAGTAAGACTATGATTCCAGTCTGTCCTACCTCATATAAAGCTTCGCACAAGCTCAACAGGTCACAAACACTCTGCGACAGAGGCGGCCACACATCGTTGTCTAGATCGTACATGATGTTGTTGGAGCCACTCCTGAGTTCTTCAAACTCAGCGGGTCATGTTGATGAGGCGTTCGATGCAGATCCGGAAACTCTGAGCCCAAATCAAGATGGAAGCCTTGAAGGCTCCAGCTCCACATCCTAAAGCTCCGCTAAGTTCCTTAAGTGTCCTTAACAAGAACCCAGTACAAAGAGAGGCAGTTCCCCCTGCGATCGCCTTGCGGAGGACATGATTAAGAGCCCTAAGCTCCAAAGCTCCGAATCGAGCCCCAGGCAGCAGTGTCTGGATGTTGTCGCTCCACTGCACGACCGGCGCCACATTGAAGTAGCCCTAACATCACTCTTGCGATTGAAACGCACGGTGGCGGTGGCGGCTGCGGTGTTGGTGGTGGTGCTGTCAGGATGGTAATCATGGTGCTGACGGCGGTGGTCATGGTCATGGTCATGAGGATAAGACGGAGGATGAGTCACAGTGATGAGGACGACGAGGATGATGATAACGATGACGATAACAATGCTGATGATGATGATGATGCTTAAGATGCTTATGATGATAATGATGGTGATGACGGTGATGATGATGATGATGAGCACGATCATGATGACGACTGTCCCGGAAAGTCAAGGCAGCACCAGCCTCTTTGACCAGGGGAGACGTGTTGGCAACTTCGATCCACCTCGCATGCCGCGGCTTCGAAGCATATAGAGCAGCCAACAAAGGGCCTACGAGGTGTTTTGAAGCCGGAGAGAGAGAGAGTGCATGAAAAACAATTCAACAATTCTACTGCAGCAGCCAGTCGGCCGTTTGGAAAGACCCGAAACCGTAGGATGCTCGATACAGCATCGCCGCAAAAAGAACCCCCAATTGCTGAAACTCTGGCAATCGAAGCCGTGCTGCAGATAAGATCATCGTGGTGTGTCTTTCTTTTCAATACGAATCTGGGCAGAAGCCCTTGAATTCTAGAGAAACCTAACTGCTTGAATAGTCCGACTGCAGCTTGCCGGGCTGCAGCCCTATACTATATTACTATAGCTTCGACGGGGAGCCCAAAGATAACAGAACTTCCGAAGAAAAACACAATGGTCCCTTCGAGACCCGGGCCCAACTGCGGGACTCTCGGACACCGGCTCCCTGGAAAGGACAGGGTTTAGGGTTTGGGGGTTTTGGGGTTGGGGTTTTTTTTTAGGCACCTTTTCCGCCTGCCTATCTGTCTAGGTCAGCGAAAGGCCGTTTTGGCCAGGCGTCGGGCAGGCAATCAGGCTTGGGTGTCAAAGCCACCCGACTCGGCAATGTGCTGGACTTCAATCATCTCCCTGACCCCTCGTCCATGATCACGTTCAATGTCATTGGTAGTAACCGACCCATCACACCATTGCTTGTATAGGCGACGAAACTCATCCATTGTAAGGTCGGTCACACGGTACGAGGACGATGCACAACCCTGGGACCCCTCTGCATTGCCTTCCTCCACTTGCGGGAGCGTACATGCCACCTCTGTAGGCCCTTCTGTCGCCGAACCACACGACCCCGACCCTTCATGCGGCCAGTAGTCCCCCGTAGTCACGTCTGGTGCCCCCTGCAGGCAGCATAGCCCCAGAGCCCGCACTTGTGGAACCCTCGTGAGGGCCCCGCCAAGGGTGGAGTATCGAGAATTTCCAGCTCCTCCACCAGGGTAGCTGTCAACTGGACACGGGCCCCAGTCGGTCCCAGTGGGACCCTCAGGGTTCGGGAAACTCTGGGCACATCAGAGCTTCCCGATGCCATCTCGACATCCAGGTATCGCCTGTTTCTGGTGGGAGGCGCCTCCAAGGCCCTCGCAAAGGCCCGGTCTTCCCACTGTTGGAATTCCCTCGCGGTAAGATCCTTCAACCCCCCAGATTCCTCCAGCCACTCGTCCACCACACCCTGGGTCTCCATGATCTCGGCTTCAAGGGCCAACTGCTCAGCCTCCTCTGTAGCTTGGTTCGCCCGCTCATTGAGCTCTGCATCCGCCTCCCTTTCAACCCTGTCTTCTTCCAGCACGCCATCCAAGTCTCTGCTATGAGCCCGGGCAAGGCCTCATTGCCCGGCTCATTTCCAGGCTTTCATCTTCCGACTCCAGCGGAGGCAAAGGCTTCTGAAAAAGGACCGGAGCCGGAAGGTCCGAAGGCAGTGGCAATCCCCTGGCTTTTCTGCTGCCTTCGTGAGTTGGAAGGAAGGTGGCGAGTCGCCTGTACCAGATGTTGCACCAGTCCAGATGCGAGTCAGGCACCTCATCGACTTGAGCCGAGGACTCCATTGCCACCACCACCACACTGAGAACTTGTGCCACACGACCCTGCATATGCCCAATGCAACGGCCAGCAGCACTGTAGCTGCATCTCCAGTCTAACCATCGCCACAGCAGACGGGAGTTGGCCAACCTTGCACCCTTGGACATTTCCTCAAGGACCCGGCGCAGGTCGCACAAGAACAAGGAAAAGTCATTTTCCGTGGTGATAATACCATGCTGCATGAGCGAATGCTCATCGCCACGTTCCGGCTCCCACGGAGGCTGCCCTTGCTCCTCGGCCATTGCACCTTCGATGACCTCGCCCACGATCCTCATAACCCTGGCAACGACCCCTTGGAAGGCAAGGACCAATGTCAGCCGATCCCTGAGCCCGTATTCCAGAAGAGTTTCAGTCACGCTGTTTCGCGTGAACCCCCCGACGATCACTCCAGGGGCCGCATCAACCTCCTCTTCCAAAGCCAGCCCCAGCACAATGCTCCATATGTCCGCAGCTTCGTCAAGGGTGAGGGGGGCATCCGGCGGCCCTCCCTCATGTGAGCTGCTAGCCGGGGCATCCCAGAAGCTGCCGGCACCAGACCCTGTCGTATTTGCCACTGGCTCGGCTCCACTGTGGCGCGGCCGAGGGCGGAGTGCACGCACAGACGTTGTCACCTGTGGGTTGGCCGGAGGAGTCATGGGCTCCCGCGGCCTGGGAGCACCACCCATGTCGTGGCACTTACTGCGTCGCCTCCGCCGCCCTTCATCTTTAGGTTTGAGCCACTTTCTCTTCACCCCACGTTGCACCAAACTGGAGACGTCAGACCCTGAACCCTCGGCGACATCATGGTGGAGGATCTTGGGGTTTAGGGTTTAGGGTTGAGGGGTTTAGGGGTTGAGGGCTTGCCCTAAGGCTTCGTATAAGCTCAATAAGGAACTTAGGGCTGTTGGGGTTTCGGGACAGTATATGTGGCGGAAATTTGGAAAGTAGACTGGGTCGGGGCAAAAAGGATATCGCTACTAGTGGTTCAACCCTCATGGCATGGGGACTGCGGTAAGCGCACCGACCCAAACACACGAACAAATTTAGGGTTTAGGGTATAGGGTTTAGGGATTTTGAAGCCAGAAGCAACAACTAGCCAAGCAAACAGTTGACGCACAGGCAGAGCTGGGAGGTGGGAGGTCGCAACAAAGTCGACGATCCCTGCAAGACAAGAGGATAGTGGCTGACGTTGAAGCACACAGTGCTAGAGATTCATGGCACCTGAGTTGATGCAAAGAATACGCTACGCACTGCAGGCAAAAAAGGCTCTGTTACAGCAAAATCTCCAAGGCCGCTTGCGAGCACACCACCATGACTGAGCACGACAGCTCGTTGAAGCTATCAGGCCTTCCAACTTTGCGAAAACTGAGCGGGAAAACAAGCCAGAAACGTGTAAAATCAAGTCGAAAGCCGGCACAAGTTGACCGTGGAGTTGAAACCAAAGTCCTGACACCTGAAGTGCACATCCTCCAAAATTGCAAGGCGTTTGTGCTTTTGCGGATGCCGGACCCTAAGTAATCCCGTAAAGCCTACACACCCCAACCCCGCTCACATCTTTGCATTTGGCCGAAAGACTGCCTTGAAGAGCTAGGACGGGCTGCCGAAGCTCCTGGCGAAAAAAAACTAACCATGATCAGAGGGCATAGGATCGTGTGGGGTGTGGGCGTCAGCGAAGGTGTATGGTTTTAGGAGTTCACGCTTCCAAAAAGTTTGGGGGGCTTGCAGCTTTGGAAGTTGAAAGTTTGCCGAATCGCTGCGCTACATTTGAAGCCCTAGCTTTTCTGATGTGAAAGCTCGGGCTTCAGGGTTTTGGATTCTCGGGCTTTACGTGTTTAGGGTTCTTAAAACTCTCGGTGGCTCTTGCGCGTACCCTTCCAGATGACTTGTGAATTAATCATAAGGAGATAGACCAAGGGCAGCTTGGATACCGATATGGCAAACAAAGCTTTCTGGCTTCGATGTGTTGATCTCCGTAGTGGACTAGAGCGGGAGGGGCTGTAGGAGGCACGTAGCTGAGGTGCAAGACTGAGGGCACCAGAATCCGGAATGAACTGTCTGCGTGTCTTTGATCGCTACTTGCAAAGACAAAAGTGGCAACACAAAGAAAAACAAAGAAACATGTCCTTAATGCAGCCGGCGCCTCCCCAGGAGTTGTAGTGGGCCGGATATGGGGCCGGAGGTGGCGGAGGGTGGAAGAAGCCTGACGCGGGAATCCCTGTCCGAGCTGCAATCCCTTTCTCATGAATCAGACCAAGCCTGTGCATTGAGTAGTGTGACTTCCATGGCTCCGCCTGGTATAGCCATGGCCAAAACCTTATAACAGACAAACACACCACTTTGCAGAACCCAAGAAACCCGAAATGAACCGTCTTAACAGCACACTTCTAACCCTATACCCTGAACCCTGACCCCCAAAACCTGGAACCCCTGAACCCAAACCCTACAAACCCTATTCAGAAGCCACGGTGAAAGGCAAGTTGGCGCTCTTGGCCTGGGGGGCGGCTAGGTCCGGGTCCCGGTGCTCCGGGGCGGACCTGAGTCAAACAGTTTGCCCCGGGCCCTCTGCATCGTCAGCTGGGATGCAACGGTTTGAGGGATGGTGGCTCTGGGGTGTTGGAGTTCAGGGTTTTGGGACGCTGTGGTGTTAGCTTTGGTGTAAGCGCTCTTTTTGAGGCTCTCTTTTCCGGCTGATTCCGCTTCACGGTTTAGGGTTGGCCTAAGGACGCTTTCAAGTGCATTGTAGGGTCGTGTGGGTGTTGGATCTCGTGAAAACCTCTCGCTGCATTGAGACTACAGGTTTCCGTTCTAAGAAAAGACTTGCTGAATGGAACCCTGAATCCGTCAATCTCTGGAAGGAACACACATGCCCAATAAGTGCCTGCATCGAAAACAGAGGAGAATCATTGCCAAGAAGTCGCACCCCCGGCTCGCCAAATTCTACTAAACACCCCCAACTCAACAGCCATTCTTACGAAACTGGTGGCCCAGGCAGCTTGCGTCGCGCCCAGCGCCGCGGCACTCGGCGCCGCCGTCCTCTGTTTGCCCGGCATTGCAAGGTTCAGTTCTTCCAAAGCCTCGCGGAGAGTGTCTCGTCAGGAAGAGTCATGATTCAGTATGCCTGCAAGAAACAGAGGGGTCTACTAAATACTCAACTTATTCTTATCAAGGAATTGAAAAGGACTCATCCGGTCATCCGGCAGAGGATGGAGCACCCTCAAAGCGAAGATGTGCGGACCTCTCAGGATCCGCCAGCCCGGAAACCCACATACCCTTGAACTAGGGGCTCCCCTGTCAAGGATCCCTGCTATATGGTTGAAGGAGTCTTATTTATGAAGGACGTCTATAAGTTGGGAAAAACACCTACACCCCGGTAATGCCCTTACAACTCATAACACTCCCCAAACCTGAAATCCTGAACCCTTCATTGTGAACATTAACTCCTAAACCCTGAACAACAGACTTGCAGCTTCCACCCCTTCCAGGTCAGGTCGCTGCCTGCTACGCGTAGGCCGGACGCTCGCACCTGACTTCGAAGAAGAGAAGTAACGTCATCGAAGAGTCGCGGAAACCCTGAACCGCCCAAAGGCTTCCCAGCCGCAAGGCCGCACGTACAGTATCGGGCGAGTACATCATAAAGACTTTAGTGCTTGTCGGAGGCGGCTCATGGCAGGGAATCTTCCGAAGACAGAACGTCGCATGCCCTTCTTGACCATCACCAAACACAGAACAGCGAAAGCCTGCGGGGAACTCCTTCTTGAAAGCCCTATTTCTGCTTGAGCCTCTTAACAGTTACTACCTGTGAGGTTTGGAACCGTAGGTTCTAAAGGAAACCAGGTTCCCTGCAATACCTAAACCCCTGAAGCCTAGACCCTCCAATTCCTAAGCGCCCTCAACCCTCACACTTTCGCTTCGATGCCCTGAGCCACTTGGGCCAGCACTGGGTCGCATGCCACTGCTGGGCCTCACAGGGTAGAACTCGCGGTTCTTTACGGTGTAGGGTTTTGGGCTTGCAGTTTGGGAGTTTGGTGTGGATGGGCTAAAGAGGGGATAAAGGTTCAAGGGTTTGGGGCTTTAGGGTGCAAGGCTTTACAGTTATAGGGTTTAGGGTACAGCGGGTACAGGTGGGTTTTCCGCCTAGGTAACGATTACTCGTAGAAGCCTCGCAAGAGAAGCTACTCGGAGCTAATGTGTTGTACCACATCTCTTGTGGACGGTTGCCCGAGCCGCCGGTCCGCTTCAAACAATTGGCGATCTTCAATCTTGCACCCTTGAAACCGGGAGTTTGGATTTGGGGTCAGGCGGTAAGGCATATGTTGAGCTTAGGGACGGTCAGGGTCTTAGCGCTTTGGCTCAGGGGTTCAGGCCCTTCGGGCGCACTGCCAAAACCCACAGCATTCTGAAGAAACGCCCTTCGTGCTCACCAAAACCTGGGCGCTATAAACTGGCACCCCAATGCCTACAACTCCGATAGCCAAACCTTGAACTCTACAGTACATGCTCACCAAAAGCACAACCAACCTACTATCCGTTGCCCACAAATCCTGCCTACGACCCTGCAGCCCCAATCCGTAAACCCTAGACCCTCCATGACCTTGAACCCTTGAAGCCGAGAACTCGACCCAAATCCTGTAACTCCATGACTTCTATGACTAGAACCCAGAACCCCCTTCACCCAACAATCCTACAACCCCAGCCTCATCTCCTCACATGCAAGTTTCCTGCAATCAGACCTCCTCTGACGATATCATACTTAAAGCATTTTTGAGCCTCGCCGTAAACCTGAACCCCTCAATCCTGTTGCGGCGTCGTTTGTGCTGGGCCCCCCGCCCCGAGCCGAACCGGGCCCCTTGCGCATGGCTGGCCTGAAGATGGCTTCGGTTTCTACATTCAACAGGCCTGGAGCTCAGGGTTACAATTAAGGCAAAAGCCCTGAACTGCCCTGAACCATACAAGCCAAAGAAACACTTTTGACCAAACAAGCTCTAAAGCCGCCAAACCCTTCATCAACCCTGTATGTCCGGAACAACAATTCCGCGCCTGGGGCTGCGGGCGAGTGCTGGGTCTCAGCCTGAACTGGTTTAGGGTATAAGGTGGCCTCTCAGGTGTTGGGTAAGGGTTCAAGCTTTTTTCGGCGTTCCCGGAACAGCGCGTCACAAAACCATATGCAAATACCCCAGAAAGTGCCGAATGAGTTGAAGCGTTCCCGTTTTGTTAGGCACCTAACGCAAAGGGCATGTGCTGGGTGCCCAAGCGTCGGCCGCATGGTGCAGCGGAAGCGCTCAAGGCGACGAGAGCGCAGGCTAAACGGGGTTCAGATCGCTCAGGGAGATCGATGGGTGAACTGTTGCTTTGGGTTCTGATTCTTCATCGGTAGAAACAACACATTGACCATCCTTATTGATGGGGTTTTGCCGTTAAGCCCATTATCCGTATAGCATGTGCTTAGTGTCAGGTCTTGGTCAGGCTGCGGGGCGGAGCCTCGGTTTAAAGTGAGATGTGCTCCAGAATGCTTTGAGGGAGCCCACACGCTCTGGAAAGTGTCGGCACTTTCTCTGACAACCCGCGCATGGTCTAG